TCACTTTGGAGGCCAGATTAAACGTCCAGGCCTTTCAGGCGATCTCATCACCATGGGAGGAGCCCCTTTCACCCTGACTAACATGAGTAAAGGAAGACAACAAGGTCTGTCCCTGTACTTGCGCAAGCAACTCAGGCTGCATCAGTACCGATGAAGTCTCAGTGGATTGGACCAGTTCAGCCCAAAAGGGCTGTACCAATCCCGCCATGGTACTCGGCATCGATGTCAGCATCCAAGTAGGAATATGCTGTATACCGATCTTGGTATCCGTGGTGATTCGCAAAAACGGTGGAACGATGCATGTCCGCCTCGATAATCGCATGGAGACACTGACTCCACACTGGTGCTTCCAAGGTAGCAACCAACGCCTCCGTCACCTCATTTACATTTACATTTACCAGGCAAACTTCGTCTACCAAGAGAAAAGGGAGAGATTATTCACTGAAACAGACGCATCATTAGCTTCGGCTGGGGACTTCCCCTCTTTAGAACGATGCATACCAGCTTTTCGCGATCGCTTTCCCTCAGCTTCAGCCCCACCTCAAAGTGCTACGACGATCGAAAATGCTACAGATCGAAAATTGCGCCAAGGCAAAATCACTAGTCCTGTTTGCGACCTTAACCTTGGGTCCCAAACTGACAGCTCTAAGTGGCAAGATGAACGTATCTTATGTGCCGAATTTAGTCGGCATGATCTTTATGTGTTATAACATTGTAGGGGCATCGAAAAGTACAAAACTACTGGAACAATAAGCCTGTCGGCTGAGATAGCACCGCTGTTAGCGATTAAAGAATTAGAATTAAAGATATCATTACAAAATGAACAAATCTGAGAGAGGTCCACATGTAGTACCTATATATGTATCATCAAAGCAATCAGACTTTTTTTAAAAGAAGTCGAAAATATCACGTTTACCAAAAATTACAAAAATATTCATCAAAATCAGAGAATTGAAGATACAGTACTCATTTCGCTGAACCTCCCGCCCGCTTCCAGATTTTGATCGCTTTTTTTTCGCTCGCTTTGTTCAATTCGACCGCGCAATTTCCGCTTTTTTTTCGACTGCGCAAATCCGGAAGTATCCGCTCGCGCAATCGCTCGCTCGCCTGACAGCGCAAGCGCCCGCATTTACAGTTCATTACCTACTGTTTCATGTACAAGTGTATCATTTTTGTTTTTATGATGTTAAAATAAGAATAAATACAATCAGAAATTTATAGAACGACTGTTGAAAAAAAATACGGTGGATCACACGGCCATATAAAATTGGTAATACATATGCGTAGTAATAATGTCCACCATAAACAAGATCGAACCAAAACATGTGAAATCAAATACGACACTGACACAGACACAACTAATATGAAATAAAACCATTCTATTTTTGGTGGAGAGCGAAAAATGTCTACTGTAGTAGAGTACGGTATTCGTTGAGTAACCGTGTGTAGGGTGACGGTTGTCATGCACGCATGGTTTGGGTTTAACACGGGTCAAGTTGTAGTTATGTTAAAATCCGTGGCACCTATAACAATTGAAAAATATCTGCAGGAATAGTAAGACTGTGAAAAAAACGACTGATCGATTGTTATAGAATGACCGTAGTGTACAATTTGT